ATCCTTCCCTCCCAGGGTACTGCCTACAGGCAGTGCCACACTGGGCTGCAGTAGGCTAGCACCCTTCAAGACCCCACAGAAACATGGCTCCACACACCCACCATTTCCTCAAAGGAATGCGCACCTAGCCTCAGTGGCTCCTTATTTATTTATTTATTTATTTATTTATTATTTATTTATTTATTTATTTATTTTACAGTGCCTTAAGCTATTTGGAGTGACCCCGCTCTGAGAGAGAGACCACCTAATTAATGGAGGCCTTGAGGAGGGTGAAAGAAAACTGGCTGTGAAGCCAAACCCTGCCTTCCCTCTAGGCCAGCGGGATGCTCAGAGCCCAAGAGGCCGGCTCTGTGCTCCTCCTGCGACCAGCAGCCTCAGCTCCCCGATGTTTGCAGTTCATTGTGTGTGCGGTGTGTGTGGGGGTGGGAGGGGTGTCAAGGAGCATCCCATTAGACTGAACAAACCCACGCAGGCAGAGACGAAGGAGGACTGTGCATTCGGCTAACCTTTATCATGTACCTGCCCACGGCACAGGACCCTGGGGACTCCACGGTAAGATCTTTCCCTTATAGCAGGAGGCCCATGGCATGGTCTGCAGTGTTGAGGGTACAAATGAGGTGTGGCAGGGGACAGAGAGTGACTCTAAGGAAAGGAAGGGGGAGGCGGGTGTCCCTACAGACTTCACAGAGGAGTGGCTGGCAAGCCATTCAGGTCTCTCTGGGAACAGCACCCACTGGCTGTGGGGCTATGTCTCCATGATCTCTCTGCCCCCTCCCTCCCAGCCCTTCCCTCGTCTGCCTCAGTTCTTTTCTGTCTGTGGAATCCTTGGGTCTCTGAGCAGAAAAGGCCCTGAAGTCCATGGGCCAAGGCACTCCTTTTACTCCTGAGGAAGCAGGAGCAGGCAGATAACAGCAACTCTTCCAAGGTCACACAACTATTTTGGTGTCCTATTTTTTTGCTTTGTTTTTTTGTTTGCTCGTATTCGCCGTGTGTGTGTGTGTGTGTGTGTGTGTGTATACATACATGTATGCTAAACTAATACAGAAAGGCAAAGTCACACAGAGAGACAGCCCCCTTTATAGTAGCAGGCTGTGTGCTGGGCACAGATGCATTCTGACAGGAATAGGGAGATGTAGAGGCATGGGACTGTGAGGGATCCCCCAGGAGTGTATTTGAGTCTCTCAGGTGATAGGAGTGGAGGCTACTGGGGGTCTCAGAGGCCTCTCCTCCCACTTCTAGGAACTGAGCCTGTCCTAAGTTCTAGTCACAGTTCCCAAGGGACTTGGAGCTTAGTCATAAGACTTTGGGTCCCCTGACATGTCCTAGGATTTAATGACCAAAGGAGAAAGGTGTGGGCTTAGGTTAGGGACAGACCAGGTCACAAATATCAGAAGACCTGGCTGTTAGAGTTCCAAAGGTCTCTCTTGACACTCCCCCCCAACCCCCACCCATAAAATTAGGGTAATTGTATTTCTCTTAGGGAAGTTTTACTGCTGGGTTGAGGAAATGCTGACAAGAGAAAGGGGTCTCTCTGGCAAGATGTCCTTTCTCCTTCTTTTCTCCTTTGTTCCTCTCCCACTCCCTCCCTTCCTCTCCCCAGCTAGCTTCCTTTCTCTCCTTCCAACCCTCTATTCTCCATTCCCCACCCCCTCCTCAACTCCCCCTCCTGCCTTGTCCCCAATCGGGACCTCCACAGAGGGCGGGAGCACAAGACCCTGGGCTCCGGCTGGGTCTGGGTGGCCATCTTCCCGCAGAGAAGGAGTTAAGTCTCTTCCCTGCATCCCTCCTCCCCTCTCCGCCTCCCCTGGCCGCCGTGGAGTCCTGCAGCTGGGCCCTGGGCTGACCTTCACCGGGAGGGAGGCCGCAGCGCGCATGCTCGGCCTGGGGAGCCGTGCGGGCGGAGGGAGGGCGGTGCGGGCCGGCGGCCGGAGCCCCCAGAGCACCGGCTGCGGCCGCTCGCTCCGCACGGTGGGGGGCGAGGCAGCCGGTCCGTCCCGCAGGCCGCGGCGCAGCGCTCCCTGCGCGGGGAGCGGCGCTTTGCCATTTGGTGTTGGTCGTGCTTCTGCGAGGGAAGGAGAGATGGGGGGACGACAGGGGGGACTCCAGCTCCAGGACTCAGCGCGGCCGCCCTCCCCTCGCCCCAGACACTCTCTCGGCCTGCCCGGGTGTGGCCTGTGCCCTGTTGGGTTGGAAGAAGTCCGGGCTCTTCGCGGGCACTGTGGGCGACGTGTTGCTCAGCGCCTTGGTGGCACTGAGGTGGTGGGGTTCCTGTTCTTTGTGAGAAGGGCTCCCTTGTGAGTCCCCCCACCAGACCTGCTAGAAGAGCATGCTAATGTGTCTGCTCACTTGTGAACCGGCATCTCATTGTATGCGATGTGGGGGAGGCCAGGGTGTGCCCGTATGTGCAAATCCATGTGGCTCCTTGTCCCTGTGGCAGTTTGTCATATGTGTGCTCCGAGGTGTGTGTTTTTGGTGCAGCATAGTGATATCTCTAGAGGGGCCAGCTCAAAAAGGACCTATTTATGGATCTGACCAATGCTCCCCATTCCCCCAGCACTGGTATCTGCTAAGCCCTTGATGAAACCACCTCCCACCCACAACTTTCTTCACCACCAAGACCTCACAGATCTGGTACCCCTCCTTCAGACTTTCCACACTCCCAAAGCTGAGATGACAGCCACCTCCTGTCTTCTCCCCAGGGGTAGCTCTAAAAGTTGAGGACACCTAGCATTTCCTAAAGACCAGAGTTGTCCATCCCACTCCCAGAACCTCCACAGATGGGGTTTCCAGTCCCTGCTAGGAGCTGAGGTAGAGGGTACAGTGACTTACATCTTTAGGTAAATGGCAGAACACACCTGTGTTCATTGGCCTGTTAAGCTTTGCAGGTGTCCTTAGTTTTGGTGTTGTAGATAGAGTTTCTGTACCCAGCCAGTCTGGGGAAAACATGGGGCCAATGCCATGTCTGCCTTCAGGAGTCACAACTTCCTTAGGATACCAAACGCAAAACACCTGAAGCAAAGGGCACACGAGACATTCTGTCCAGTCCAGTTTATGGACAAGATGAGTGGTATGGGACATTTGGATAAAACCAAGATATGTTCCCATAAGTGAAGCCAGAGAACCAGGGTCTGACCTAGGCCTTAAAGGATGGAACAGGTTGAGAAGGCAAGTGGAGGCATTGTAAAATGGCTGAAGAGCCTTAGACTAGGGGATGTGGGGGCCAGGAGGATTGGAGATTAGCTGCTGGACCCAAAGCAGGTCATTATCCAGTCACCAGCCACCACTTTACATGCTGTTGTTTCTGGAGTCAGCTCACCCTGGACTACTGTCCCAGAGCGTCTTAACAAGATGTTCTCTCTAGTCTTTCATGGTGACAGTGGCCACCTGAAAGGACAATGACAGCTAGACATACTAACAGAACCTGCAGGAAACTAAGATGCAGGCTAAACAGACTGGGAGAGCATTCCCTCTGCTCCTTATCCTGCCCCATGAAGACATTCTGAAGGGCCAAAGGCTAGGGTCCCTCAGTCCAATGGGTCTTGAGGGCTCAAATTGCAGTGTGTTCCCGCAAGTTCTCTCAGGCATTGTCCCTCTCTCAGTGGCAGCCCCGGCTAGCGCATAAACGTGACCCTTGGTTGTCCCAAAGTTCGCGGACTCCTCCTTCCGAAGGTGGGGATAGGCGTGGCTTGTGGCATGGGCGGGGCTTGGGTTCAATCTAGGGATCTCAGGATCTGCCCCCTCCTTGCTGGTCTTCCTCCACTCCCGGGTTGGCCAGTTCTCTCCACCCTGTACTATTTGGGGTTTCCTCGTCTTCTTACCCCATACTCCTGCTTTCTCCTCGGTTCTGAGGTGGACGTCACCAGCCCCAGTCTCTCTGGGTCTCCACGCCAAAGCCATCAAGCCCTGTCTGTCCTCCTACCCACCCAAGTACCCACCCTGGATCCGCTCCATTCCTCACAGTGTACTCCAACTGTTCTCATGAGCCCAATCCATGTCCCTCTTTCGGAAATACTTCCCCTATTGCCCTCACTTTCTCACACAGAGACAAACAAAGACCCACAAGCCCAGAAATAGACTCCCACAGAGCTGAAAGACACAGGCCGTGTCCTGCCCCGCACGCACGCGCGCAGGCTCGGCGGCTCTTGTGGAGGGAAGCACACAGACGGGGCGTTTGTCAGTGCACGCACATAAACATCCACACCCACAGCCTCTGCTCCGTGCCACAAAAGGGTGCAGACACACGGTGTGCGAGACAAGGGCACACACATTTGCGGGCGCCCGGGAGCCCGCCTAGCCCGGCACACCCACCGCGGCTGGCCCTGGGACAGGAGCAAGGCCTGCTCCAGGCTCGGGCTCCCCCCAGATTCCTTCCAGCAAATGTTTCCCTACTTGGCCCGCCTGGTCCCTGGGGAAAGGGCCTCAGAAATGCGGCAGGAGCCACTTGGGGGAAGAAAGTTGGAACTGCCTGTTCCCTGCCTGGCCCTGTCGGCGAATTCCCTAACCGAGAAACTATTTGTGGCGAGGTCTGGGTGGCTGGCGAGCCCCCTGTCACCTCCCGTGGTGTTCCCTCCCCGTGCCGCCACCGATGGGCCCCGGGCGGCCTGGGCGCAGCGCAGCTGCCCATCGCGCAGCCTCCGGGCAGATCGGTTCGGCTCGCCGCTTCTGTGCGCCGCTTGGACCACGCGGAGTACACGGGAGGGCCGCTCTGTCCCCGGCGCGTCGCAGGCAGACCCCGGGCCGACGGACTATTTCTGTCTTATCAGTGCAGGAATGCGGCAGCCGCGGCGGCGGCGGCGGCGGCGGCGGCGGGCGGGCGGCGGCGGCGTGGGCCGTGGGCCGTCAGGGCAGCCCTGAAGGGGCCCCCTCCCCACTCCGCTCGAGTAGAAGTGTGAGAGAGCCCAGCAGGACTCAGAGGGGAGAGTTGGAGGAAAAAAAAGGCAGAAAAGGGAAAGAAAGAGGAAGAGAGAGAGAGAGTGAGAGGAGCCGCTGAGCCCACCCCGATGGCCGCGGACGAAGTTGCCGGAGGGGCGCGCAAAGCCACGAAAAGCAAACTTTTTGAGTTTCTGGTCCATGGGGTGGTGAGTGGGGGAAAGTTAGCGGGGGAGGGTGAGCGAGCTGGCTCGGGCTGAATGGAGGGATGATCGGGAGGGGCTGCCGGCGCGCTGCGCTCTCCCACCCCTTTGGTTGGGGGGCGCACGGTCACGGCCCAACCCTGGGACCTTGCTGGCGCCCTGGCATCCGAACACGTCGCCAAGCGGTCGGCTGGGGATGGGCGCACGGCGGCCGGGAAGAGAGGCGTCGGCTTGGGTTCTTATCAGGGGCAAGGGGTGGGATGTGGGCCACCGTGCCTCCCCCAAGAGGGGGGTCTCTTCTGGAACTGACATGTCTCACATTCTTTTACTGGTGGGCTCAGGTGTTACCCCTGCCCTGGGGTGGGGGTGGGGTGGTGACTCGAACACACAGCTAGGGCTGGGCTGGCTGTTGTCCCTGTTCATCCTTTGGGACAGGGTCACTGGGACTAGGTTTGAGGAACTAGGGGCAGGTGACCCTGGAGTGACACCTAAGAGCAAAAGCTCTCTGAGCAACCTCTGCATCTTAGCAGGAGAGTCTTGAAGATTTGGCTCTGCTGTCAGAGCTGAGAGAGGCCTACTTGAGAGACCCCAGGTTAAGCCATCAGAGGATCTCTTTGGCAGGCTCAGCCAACAGAAGTTGATGACCTTAACACCTCAAAGGTGTGAAGGAGGGACTGGAGTTTGGGACGTGAGGCCTAGAGACCAAAGGGATAACACTATACTGTACACACACACACACACACACACACACACACACACGAAGACACATGAGTTTGAGGGTGCCCAGGGACCTAATGAGGTAGACACACAAATTCAGTTAGTAGAGAGCCTGACTGTGAAGAGCTCCAAGTGTGGGCATATGGAGGGAAGAATCCGTCAGATTTACTATGGCCAAATTTGGTTGTGACCTCAGGAAGCACCTTTTCAGTGAGAGAGGCAAGGGCCCCCAGAATCTGACCTCTATGAGGGTGGTACTAATGGCAGGCCCCTGGGGGCCCCTAGAAGCCTTCTTCTCAGGGCCTCTCAGTAGACCAGACAGTATCAGTGGCCTTGATGAATAGGAGAGCAGCTGATAGGGAAAAGGGCTTCTCTGTGGCAGCCTGCTCTCTAGCCATAGGGATCTCTGGGGTGTGATTTCCAAGGCAGTCCTGTGGATTAGTGAGTCCTAACCTAGCTGCTTGAGTAGCTGCTTTCAAGAATACCATCCAGTGAAGGGGTTCTGCATATGGAATTGAATATGGCCAACTTGGTGGTTTAGTTCTTGGATGATTAGAGCCCCCTCTATAGTAATGGAGAATGGCTAGGCCTGAGCTTCTACCCTGGTGGCACTGGTGCCAGTGAGTGACAGAGTCAGGTGGAATGGAGGAGGCAAATTCAGGGACAGGCCGGTTTCACTGCAGAAGAGATGGGCAGAGACAGCTGCCGGCGATGGGTGGAGACCTTTGGTGTAAGCAATGTAAGAGGAGAAAGGAAGCTTGGAGGGTTAGGGTTAGGGCTTCTTAGTCTTGGGGGCAGGATGAGGAAGGGGTGCATGCGTGTGTGCATGTGCACACATGATCTTCTGTAGCCCAAGCTGGCTTCAAATTCACTATATACCAGAGGGTGGTCTTGATCTTTCTGCCTCTACATCAATATTGGGATTACAAGTGTGTGCTATCATGTACAGTTTATTTGATGCTGGGGATCAAACCCAGGGCTCCACATGTGTTGTACAAGCCCTGTACCAAGCTACATCCCTAGCCTGAGATGGGGGTGTTTAAGTAATAGGGTTTTCATCCCTCTCTCCCTAATACCCTTCCTGGTCTTCTGAACTCATCCCACCTCCTGAATAATCCCTAAACCTCAGCCCCCTTCCTGGGCTTGGACCAGTGGAATCCGGAGCCATGCACTCCCATTTGCACCTCATCTGTTTTGATTGACTGCCCAGAGGTGGTGGCCAGGGAAAACAAACCTGCCTCACTTCCCTCCAATTTCTACCCTTACTGGGATCTGGTGGGGGAATGGTTGTCTCTGATCTGGGCAGATAGTAGGGGAAAATGGATGCTGCTACAAACGCAGCTTCCTTCACCAGCCCTGCACTGGCAGTCCACTTCTATTCCAGTTCCCTACTTGCCACTCAGAAAAACCTGGTGGAGTCTGACGACACCAGACCCTCAGGTGCCCTTGCCCAGCCTCTTGTATCACCTTGGGAAAAATGAAATTAAAGAGGCAGGCTAAGTCGGGGTGTGGAGACCTGCCTGGAGTTAGCTATACCAGTTATATTTGAGATTGAGGTGCCAAAACCGAGGGCTCTGAAGGAAGATGGGGGGCTCAGGTACAAAACACATCAGCCCCAGAAGTGGGGTGTGGAAATGGGAAAGGAGGACAGGAGATCAGCCCCTCACTGCAGGAAGCAGCGGGGAGCAGAGCCGGTCAGGTGCTGCCTTTGCCGGAAAGAGCAGGGTGACCTTGGTGAGGTCGCTTTTTTCTTTGAGCCCCAGTTGCCCCATCTGTCAAGTGGGGATGAAAAAGACCTACTCTGACTGGCTTGCAGAGAACCATACGGAAATGAACATCCTTTGAAAGGTTGAAAGGCTTATTAATATTCATTTTGGGGGTACCTTGACGGCTCTGAGACTCGGCTATGCTCTGGGCAATTGCCTGGCTTCAGTTAGCTTCATGCAAGAAGACGCCGAGCCCCCTCCTCCAGAGCCGCGCAGATTCCCTCGCCCCCGCCCCTCCCACCAATCACTCCCACTCATAGCTCGGCGCAGGGTTACCAGCCCAGGGTCTTGGAGAGGGGCGGGAGCGCAGGCACGCTGGCCTGGGGGTCGGGACCGAATCTGACCTGCCGGCGCCGGTTTCTGCTTCACCTCCTGCCCCACCCCCCAGCGCCCCGGGATGCCGTCTGGAGCCCGAATGCCCCACCAGGGGGCGCCCATGGGCCCCCCGGGCTCCCCGTACATGGGCAGCCCCGCGGTACGACCCGGCCTGGCCCCGGCGGGCATGGAGCCCGCCCGCAAGCGAGCAGCGCCCCCACCCGGGCAGAACCAGGCACAGGGCCAGGGCCAGCCCGTGCCCACCGCCCCAGCGCGGAGCCGCAGGTGAGTGCCCCCAACACCCCCCCCCCCGCGTGAAAGGGAGTGCAGGGGCGGGCAGGCAGAAGCCTCAGGGACCAGGTGGGTGAGTGGTGGGGATGGGAAGCTAAGGAAGGATGTTAGCGGAAGGATGTTAGCAGCAACCAAGTCATTCTAGCTTGGATATTCTCTGGGGAGGGCTTAGGGGTTACTGGTCTGGTTCTTTTGTGTGCCCACAGTGAAGACAGGCTGCGATAGTCGGCTGCCAGTGTCCCTTCTCTGCACGCACCCTTCATTCTTCTGCTTGTCACCTGCTAAATCTTTTCTCCCATCCTTTCCCCCAAGTTCTGGGAGATGTCTTTGGGGAGAGGCAGGGCTGGCAATAGACCAAAGGTTGAGTCTTAGCTGTGTGTTTTCTAAAATGTAGTCCTCTGGTACCTCCGGGCCACTTCCAGGCCAGTCCTGAGTCCCGGGCTCTGCGTCAGAGTCCCTCTAGATTAACCCCTCTGAGGAAGCAATTCTGCCCCCAAGCCACCGGACCAGCGTATTTCCTTGTCTGAGAAGTTGGTGGCACTCCCATGGTCCCTGCTGGCTCTTGGCAAGAGTAATGCCCCTATGGGCATCAGTATTTAGCCAAACACACATGCTTCCTTTTGCACAACAGATGGGTTCTTATACAAGGTGTAATATCAATTCTACTTCATTATTAAATAGTTTTTACACATCAAGGAAAATCAAAGGCATCCCATAATAAATTATTTCACAAAGTGAATCATTATCTCATTATCTTGTATAGCAAGCAATTCTTTGATTTTTTTTTTTATGTGTAAGTTAAGAGTTTTGTGTGGACAATTTATTTGAAATAAATCAATCCTTTCATAAGAGGCTTAGCCAGCCTAAGAATGGGTTGGTGGTTTTGGGTTTTTTTTTTGTTTGTTTGTTTGTTTGTTTGTTTGTTTTTTTAGAGGAGTTGCTTGCTTGGGCATAGAATGGATTTCTGGATAAAGAGGGGGCAGTGAGTGAGAATGCCACATGGGGACAGTATAGAGCTATCTTCTAGGTTGTGTGTTCTCTTGGCCAGCCAAGGGTTTTCTTTCTGCGTTGCTTTTGAAACTGAGAAACGTCCAATACCAGGTGCTACCTACCCTAGGTTCAGCCACATTGATTCCAGAGCTAAGTCACACTCACATAGAACACTCTTGCACACTTCCAGGGTCCTTGTGACTGTGGTGTGTCCCTTGGTTGGCAGATGGTCCAAGACCACAAGCATCTCCTGCCCTTAAACAGTCCCTTCCAAGCCTAGAGCCACAGGAGTGCCAAGTCCCACCACTTGACACAATGACAGTTCAGGAGCTCCAGGAACCAGGTGGCAGAGTCACCTCTCCCCTTCTTGGAGCCCAGGCTCTCTTGAGCATGTATCTCCTGCTTTGCAGGAGGGTCCTCAGAAGCTATCTTCTCTCTCCTCTGTCTTCCCCAACTCCAGGCTTTTTGCAAACACTTCTGCAGTCCCCATTTTTTGACAGCATCTTCTCTTTCACTAGTTCCTCCTAAGTCTGAATGTCTCTGGCTCTGAGGATGTGGTGCGGTATAAGGTGGGGGCAGGGGGTACCAAGCCAGAGAAAGGACCTGCTTTCCAAAGGAAGTACCAGCTCCACATCACTGCTGTAGCCCTCAGACAGGCAGACAAGCAAGCTGTGGGAACCCCAGCCAGCGGGCGGAGATGTCGGGATAATTTAGCAGGTGGCCTCGTTACTCCCAGATCTGTCGCCATGGTAACCTGGTTTTTTCTTTTAAAAATGTACAGTGCCAAGAGGAGGAAGATGGCTGACAAAATCCTCCCTCAAAGGGTGAGTGCCTTTCACAGCAGCCCCCAGCCAGCCCCACCCCTTTGCTCCTCCACCCTCCCTCCTCCCTTAGGAACAGTGCTCTGGGCTCCCACAACCACTTTCACTTTTTGTTTTAAAAGCTCATTAAGAAGTGAGGCTCCCTTTGCGAGGGTGGGGCTGGACTGAGGGAGGGAACTGGAGAACCATGGAGGGAGGAGGGGCAGAACATAGGGCCTGAGGTTACGGGGCTGGATGCCAGTGGTCCAAAGGCATAAAGGACAAAGAAGGGACCGGAACCTACTGGGTGGAGGAAACACAAAGTAGCAGAGCGCCTGGACATGCGAAAGGGACAACAGGTTTGGAGCTCCCGAGGCAACCTACACTATCTCCCAACTATCTGGGATACCCAGAATCCCTTAGCACTTTTCAGGGACCCAGGGTGTCTGTATGAGTAGGGGGTGATAGGATGAGGCTAGGCACTTGCACCTGCTGGGCTGCCAGTTGCTGCTGCTTCCCTGTGATGAGATGCATGAATTTTCCTGGAGGGAGAAGCAATTTTTATCCGCACACAATGAGGCTATATAATAGAGTCCAGGGGACAAGTCCTATCTTCACTCTCAAGATTCCGAAGCCTGAAATCAATTGGACAGCTCTCCTACGCGTCCTTTGTGTCCTGTGGTCACACAGCAGGCACCCGTTCTGCATTGCAAGATGGACTGAGCCCTGCTTCCACTTTGTCCCTCCTCCAGATTCGGGAGCTGGTCCCCGAGTCCCAGGCTTACATGGACCTCCTAGCATTTGAGAGGAAACTGGATCAAACCATCATGCGGAAGCGGGTGGACATCCAGGAGGCCCTGAAGAGGCCCATGAAGGTGCTTTAGTGTGGGAGTAGGAATAGGGCTCTAAGTGCCCTGTCCAGTAGGAGGAAGCAGGGTACCCCTGGGTCGGTGCACACAGCCCTCGTCCTGTACTACACTTTATTTCTACAGCAAAAGCGAAAGCTGCGCCTTTATATCTCCAATACTTTTAACCCCGCGAAGCCCGATGCCGAAGATTCCGATGGCAGCATTGCCTCCTGGGAGCTGCGGGTGGAGGGGAAGCTCTTGGATGATGTACGTCCTGGCCCAGGTCTCTCCAGGTGTCCTGGGGTGGGTATGGGCCGAGTCAAGGACAGAACTAAATGTCTGCACTGGGAATTGGGAGTCAGCCCGGGCTGGGACGGGTGGACCTGGGGACAGAGGGCTGCCTCTGAGTGTACTACTTGCCTGCTGCCAACTTGGCCCATTCTGTGTCCATGGTCCCTGTTCTGCCCCCACAGTCCCTGTCACTTTCCCACAGCCCAGTAAGCAGAAGAGGAAGTTTTCTTCCTTCTTCAAGAGTTTGGTCATTGAGTTGGACAAAGATCTTTACGGCCCAGACAACCACCTTGTTGAGGTAAGATAGATTGCCTATGCCCTTGAGTCACAACCTTCCCTTAAGCCCTGAAGCAGCTGCAGATTTGGGTTGAGGAGCATCCTAAAGCCCTAGGCTCTACAAATCCAGATGGGTGTGTGGATAACCTAGCTCTTCTCCCCTGGACAGTGGCACCGGACACCCACAACCCAGGAGACAGATGGGTTCCAAGTGAAGAGACCAGGGGACTTGAGTGTGCGCTGCACCCTGCTCCTGATGCTCGACTATCAGGTTGGTTTTACCCTGTGACTGCATGCCACCCACAGACCCCACTGTCTTCCTACTCACCTTCTCTAGGAGCCTACTGCCAAGGACCCTAACCTCCACGCCCCTGAGCCCTGCTTCTCCCTTTGATCTCATTTTCCTGGTGAATTTTTCCCAGCCTCCCCAGTTCAAACTGGACCCCCGCTTAGCCCGGCTGCTGGGGTTGCATACACAGAGCCGCTCAGCCATTGTCCAGGCACTGTGGCAGTATGTGAAGACCAACAGGCTACAGGACTCCCATGACAAGGAATACATCAATGGAGACAAGTATTTCCAACAGGTAACAGATGCCCTTAGCCCCAGAGTCTGGGGAGCAGGGATAGTGTCCTAGCAGAAGCACCTCTCAAGGTAGCTATCTCCTCTTGCTGGGTTTCTGAATACCAGGAATGTTCAGGCCCATGGCCCTGGAGCCAAGAGCAGAGTCTAGTCCAGGCTCTTCCACAATCTATTTAGCTGCTCCCCAAGGGAAGCAAATCTGGGACCCTACTGGGGAAATGAGGGGGAAAGCATCCTGTGATGTAATCTTCTTGGTACTTGGAGACTTGGAGTTGGGATCTCTGAGGTGCCACCAGTGCCGGGTCTAGACTTGGGTGACTTACTTTGCTATTCTTTCTGCCTCTTGATGTGTCTTTAACATGAGGAGTGGTGGGAGTCATCACGTGTGTCTGGCAGCTAGGAAAAACGAGACTGTTGAAAAACGACCTGACAAAAGTCTACCAGAGTAGAATATTGCTATTAATGTATTTTAAAATAAACACAGTAGATAGATCTTAGGAGAAATAGGAGTTGGTATTTATTGAGCATTTACCATGTACCGCTTCAGACACTTATTGTACACGGATTCACCTAATTCTCATGACAACCCGCGAGATGGGGCTGTTAATATCCCCATTCTAGAGGTGAAGGCACTAAGACCCAAGGTGCTAAGTAACTTGCTCACAGAATGCGGCAGACTTAGGACCCCACACTGGCTTGCCAATTAGCCATGCCTGTTTCTCTACCTCCAGCCTGGCTCATGGCGATCAGCACCCAGGATTCTGACTTGCCCTCAGCTTCTTGTGGTAGCTACTGTCTCTTCAAACACACGAGTGATCTCCCTCTCTACTCCCCTGCCTCAGATTTTTGACTGTCCCCGCCTGAAGTTTTCTGAGATCCCCCAGCGCCTCACTGCCCTGCTGTTGCCCCCTGACCCAATTGTGATCAACCATGTCATCAGGTGAGGTAGCCCAGCTCCCCTCCTTGCTTTCTCCGCCCTCCTCATGTACCCGCCCTAGCCCCAGCCCTGGGCTTCTGCGGGGTGTACCATGGACATCAAAGGCTGGGCTTCTCTGGCAGCGTGGACCCATCAGACCAGAAGAAGACAGCGTGCTATGACATTGATGTGGAGGTGGAAGAACCACTGAAGGGGCAGATGAGCAGCTTTCTCCTGTCCACAGCCAACCAGCAGGAGATCAGTGCTCTGGACAGTAAGGTGCGGCCTGAGCCCAGAGCTAGAGTAGGACATTAAACCAAGAGAGAGGACAAAACACTCACACCACAGCATGGGCCTAGGACACAAGGCACACATAGCCTTTCCCTACTATTGAGAAGCTGATTTCATTACAAATTCAGCTCTGCCCACCCCGCTCCCCTCACTGGACTCAGAGGAAGCAAGGGCTCTGGGGACCTGCCCTTCACAAGAGAAGCAAGTCCCCCACCCCCACCCCTTCTTCCTCTTGCATTCCTCTCACACATCACAGGGCCAGGTGGAAATCATTGTCTTTCTACCTGTAGATCCATGAGACGATTGAATCCATAAACCAGCTCAAGATCCAGAGGGACTTCATGCTAAGTTTCTCCAGAGACCCCAAAGGCTACGTCCAAGACCTGCTCCGCTCCCAGAGCCGTGATCTCAAGGTGAAGACAGGGCTTAGAGGGCATTGATGTGAAGACAAGCACATGGGGAAGGAAAGATGGGCATGCAGCTCAGGGGCAGGTGAGGCACTCAGAACTCACCACAGGCCCCATGCTCCCTCCCAGGTGATGACAGATGTGGCTGGTAACCCTGAGGAAGAGCGTCGGGCTGAGTTCTACCACCAGCCCTGGTCCCAGGAAGCCGTCAGCCGATACTTCTACTGTAAGGTAATGGAGGCCCTGGAACATGAAGCTTCCCTTTCCTTCAGTCCTAAGAGGAGCCTTGCCTCTCACCTGGCAACAGTCTTTGCTGCTGCCTATGCCCAATAGCTGTCCACCACCCTACATCTCCATGCAGTAGTCTCCTTGCTCCCAGACTCTTCCAGGGAAGGGCTGCCACGATAGGGTACCCCTGGTCACTCACCAGGATCACTGTAACCCTGCCCCTGATCACATTTCCTCTAAAGATCCAGCAGCGCAGGCAGGAGCTGGAGCAATCGCTGGTCGTGCGCAACACCTAGGAGCCCATGAACAAGCATCACTGTGGACCAGCCACGCTGCCCAGCATAAGCCCTGGGCTCTGGACTCCCTCTCCCGCGCTGTGGTGGGGGTGGGGAGGGCTGGATTAAAGGTCACTCATCAGACAACAGCCTTGTGGTCATTGTGGATGGGGATGGGAGGGAGGAAGAGAGGGGTAAGGCAGTGGAACCCGGCAGACAAACTCCACAACCTTCCCATAGACTCCTCTTCTTACCCCTCTCCCTAGACCTAAAAACAGTTTGGCAGAAGATACTTTTAATAACATTTCTTATTTTTAAAAAAATACAGTGACAAACCCTCCATCTGTCCGTCACTTTGCCTTGCCCTTCCTGGGGCTATGGCAGACACTGGGGTAGAGAAGCTAAGTGCTGTTTGCCTGCTCCTGTTCAAACAGAGCCATGGCTAGCTGGGTACGGGCCCCCAGACCCTCCAGATTGCTAAGGCGACAACGGTGGTACAGTTCCTCACTGAGCCGGGGGCTACAGTCCCGCAGGGAGAACTTCTGCACCAGCCCTGGCTCTACGGCTCGAAAGAGGTGGAGCCCTGAGAACCGGAGGAAAACATCCATCACCTCCAGCCCCTCCAGGGCTTCCTCCTCTTCCTGGCCTGCCAGTTCACCAGCCAGCCGGGCCCGGGCTGCCAGGTAGTCAGCATTGTAGAAGCAGCCCTCTGCTGATGCCTGCCGGTCAAATCTGCCCCCAACTGGAGCCCCCCGAGAAGGGTCCACACCAGGGGATGGGGGGTCAGGGCCAGCCCCAGGGACACCTGGGGGAGATCTCTGTGGTGACAGAACAGGGTTGAACTCCTGAAAGTGGACTGGAAAGAAAGCCTGCCAGCCCGAGATTGCATTCATGCGGCAGCGGTTGAGGACTTCCGACCCAGGTCTTGTCCACACGGTGGTAAGGAAGAAGAGTGTGTCCACAGGGTGTTTCTTGGAGATGACATCCATGAGTCGCACCTGTGAAGGGGCCTCTGCTCGCACAGCAAGCCAGGCCAGCCTCACCCCAGGGTACCGTCGTTCTAACTCCGCTGCTGCAGCCTTTACTCCGAGAAATGGGTCAGGGCCCCCGCGACCTTCCCGGGGCCCATAGACCAACAACAGGGTGAGCAATGCATGTTCTCGAGGCTCCAGAACACTGGCAGCAAAGGCCTCAAGAAAAGCCAGGGCAGCTGGAGCTTCAGGCACCAGGAGCGGCAGCACCAGCTGCACCCGGGTAGCCTCAGTGACATAGGGCATAGGCAGGATTTCCACTCTGCTCAGTGGCCTCAGCAGGCTCACTCTGCGGGCCAGAGAGCGTCGGTGCCCTCGCTGAGTCACGGCTTCTAGCAGCAAGTCGAGGGTGTACTCCATGCCCCTAGCAGGGTCAAAGCGCCTGTAGCCATTGAGAAGCCGCTGCTTCTGGAAGCGCAGGCGGGGCTGATAGCGCCGATTGAGCTGCTCCAGAGCAGTGTCCACAGCATCCCCGACATCTGCCCTGCTAGCCCCCTGCAGCGGGCACTTGGGAGCCCCATCTGCACAGGCGAAGGTGTGTTGCTCCGTGAAGTAGTCCCAGCCCAGCACCTCGAAGCGAGAGTGTGGAGTGAAAGGGGCCGGGAGCCCAACAGGCCAGCTTAGCCCTGCCTCTCCCTCAGGGGTCAGCACCGTCAGGTTCCGGATCTGAGCCTAAGTTGGAGGGAATGCAACCAACATTAGTGCTGGTTTTAAGATCCCACCCAGCTCCAGATGCTCAGGCTCTGGGGGGCGATCAGCAGAGCCCTGGCTAACCACTGAGTCCCTTGCCCAGAACTGTCTTCATATAAAGTGCAGAAAGGAGGTGAGGAATGCCCACCTTCATAGCTGCTGCCAGGACCAGCAGGAGGAAGTAAATCTCAAAATACAAAGCTCAAAACACTTTCACTCCCACGATCACAGGACCAACATCCTCTTCATGATCTATCTGATCTATAGCCCACTTCTGATGACCCCTACACTACAGAATCCCTTTCCTGTCTATCTTTTGGGTCTTTAGCACAATTCTAGAAGCTTAGGGTGTTTTATGGCTTGTTGTCTTGGGGGAATGCACTAACGTAGAGTTTAAGTAAGCTTCTGGGAGTTTACCTACAAATTTGATGGCCCCTAGCTTACTCCACAGTGTCCTGGATCCCAGGTTCCCTTGTCCCTGTGATGGTTAGCCTCTCTCTGCCTTCTCCCTGTGAGCCTGCCTCCCCAGGCTCCCTCTAAGCTCCTGGCCATGATCCTCAGGTACAGCTCACTGCATCAGCTCACCTGCAGTTGTTCTATTTCGCTGTAAGCCCGCTCCAACTCCAGAGCACTGAAGCGCTTGTGGAGCCGGTACATGAGGGTACCCTCGGAGACAGGGTGAACGGTGAAGGCACTCAGGAAAGCAGGGCTCCCCTCCTTCTCAGGGTCCCTATTCTTGGCCAGTTCGAAGGAGCGATATTGTTGCCCCTAGAGGGACCAATCATACAATTAATGCTGTACACATAAGCTGGGACTCCCAAAGCCTCAGTCTCCTTAGCACTCAGAGCTGCCACTGCTACTGCTCTGGAAGGGACCGAGAAGCAGTGGCCCCTAACCTCCATCCCTACTTCTAATGCCCACATTTTGGAAATGAGAAAGTAAATGGGCAACTAAGGGCTTCCTCTTTCCCCAAGAACTCTACTGCTCAATGAGAAAACAGCCACAGGACATCCTGGCAGACTGGTGTGGAAGAAGGCTGGCCCTGGGATGCTCAGTCTTCGATGGTAAAGCAGAGCCACTCTCTAGGGTAGTAGAGAGATTTCTGAGCTTTCCACCTTTGGGGGGGGGGGAGGGATGGGGTGGCCAACTCTAGAACATTTTCACATTGTCCTTAACTGTGATTTGTACTGGGTGTAGAAAAGGGTGCGAGAGGGAGGCAGATAAGTTCAGACACCTTCCTGGCTTGTTCAGGGGTCTCTAAAAATACGCACTTTTGATGGCCCCAAGGCTGTAAGGTGAGCAAGGGAGAGTGGAAGGGGCAGGCTGGCATCTGGGAAGGACAAAAGGACGGTCTGGAGAATTCAGTTTGGACAGCAATCATTCAGTCACTGTCAACCTTTGGGGGACTGGGACTGCCTTGAAGGGGCTGTCACCTGGTGCTGTGAGACACAGCCGATGCCCAGAGTGTCGATGAGGCAGCGGCCTAGCCATTCATCAGGCCGGGCGCTGAGAATGTCCCCTCGGCAGCCATCCAGATGCGGCCGCAAGCGCAACAGGAGACTCCGTGACAACAGGTAGCCAAAGCCCCCATGGCAGTACCGGGCCTGCTCGCCTGTACCAATGAATTCCTCTGCATGGCCTAAGTACAGGTCTTGATTGATGCTAAGGTGACCAGTAAGAGCTGCCAATCTGGGGGCCTGTACATATGTGTCGTCCTGCATGATGAAGAACCAGTCATAGTCTGCCCCAAAGTGTGTGTGAAGGTGCCGCAGGGTCTCTGACATGAGCCAGGCAGGCCGCTCATCTCCATGAGACACCACCTGCATGCCTGCGGGAGCCCGGGCCCCTCGCTGCCCCGTGAAGTAGAGTAGCCGAGGGAAGTGATGTGCCACTGTACGGTTAACAGCGACGGCCAGGGTGGACAGCGTGGCTCGAGAAGTCAGGACAGCCACCAGCAGGCGCTCACGAGAGCCCAGCTCTGTCTGTATATACCGAGTCCTATGGAGAGACCAGAAGATAAGGGGTCAACTCCTGAGTCATTAAGGGAGCATGCACCAGCCTGCCCAGCACACACATCCCTAGGAATAAATGAGCTGGATTGGGAAAGGGGGGAGAACCCCTCCCTCATCACTAATAACTAGCTATCGGAGTGCCCACTGAGTAGGCAAGGCTGGACTTGGCTACCTGGAGACAGGCTCTACTCAGGTCTAATCAGTAGTGCAGAGACAGCTTTGTTCAAGAACAGTGAACATTAACACCAATGGGTGAGATGCTTTCAGACTTGGGGAGGGATAAAACAGGAGCAAACCAAGACAGGAAATAAGACAAGTGCTTCCAGGAAACTAACACATAAACCCAGCAGCAAGCAACTCTAGAGTGAAGGTCAGTGCCAGAGGACTATGCACACATAACCCTCACCTGAGCACCTTCTTGTAGGGCTTGTTAGGATCCCTGTAGTAGGGGACAATCCTGGGTTTGAAGTCTTCGTCACTTTGGTCCAGCCCATTTTTTGAGTCTGGATTCTGTGGCTCTCCTGGCTTCCCCACAGCCTCTACACAGGGATCTTCTCCCTCACCCTGGATCCAGGAAACCCGCAGGAGGCTCAGGCTGCATCCCAGAGACAGTCCCAGGATGAGGGGGAGCACTGGCCGAAGCAGAGCCAACAGGGAACTCAGTCGCATGGTGGCAGGCCCTGACACAGGGTGCCCTAGGGGCACAGTCTCAAGAATTAGTAGTCTGATGGGCCCCAGACCAGCAGTAGCCCCACGGTTTTAACCAGAGAACCTGGGGTCAATGAGGTCAGCAACAGAGAAAGGAGCAATGTGTGTCGACTTTCAGGCCCAGCATCCCCACGAAGTCTTCCCAATTCCCTATGTCTGGTCTTGAGTGGCCATGGTGCTGATACACTCCTCAATAAAATACTAATGACTGTATGAACAATGGCCACTCACTACTAGGATTGCAGTCTGTAGTCCAGTAAAAGGAAAAAAGAAAGTCCAGTACTGCCAAACCTAACCCCAAAAGGTCTACAGCCATTTGAAGCAAGAACCGAATTCAAGTCAGCAGCACCCAATGACACAGGGCTTACGGTAAAACGCACGCACCATTCAAAAGATCCGACCAAAAGAGCCTGCCTCAGTCACCCTGTCCTATCCTGCAGATATCCTGGCTCACTATGTCTCCTCAGGCCCCAGAAGAGACGGCTGACCTACTGCTGCTACAGGCTAGCACTAGAGAAGGGTCAGTGCTTCCTTCCACCCTGCTCCTGAGTGTCAAAGAAATCCACAGACTCTAGAAATCCCCTCTTTGTCAGATAAGATCACCAGCCATGCATGGTGCCCACCCACCTGCCCACCCAAATGAGATGAACAGTCACAGTGACTCAGCACAGCTGGCCTCTCAGAGGAGCGCAATGGCTGATGGAGC